CAGTTTCAACATAAGGAAAAAGATGAGTATCTAAATATGTAAATTAAGATAATAATGAGGCACCTTTTTTGTTCTATAATTAGAAGAATATTTTTGAGTGACAACAGGCTGCAGTAAGGCAGGCACTTTACTACATTGCTGTTGGGAACATAAACTGGTTCACCTGTTTTGCAAAGCAAACCATCAGGAGTCTCAAAAAATCACTTTCAATGCTATAAAGAATTTGACCACAAGAACATATCACAATTTATTCAACTATTTTCCTATTGATAGATACATATGTATTTTTCAACTGTTTTGCTATTAGAGACACTGGAGGATATATAACATTTTTATGAATGCTGCACTTAACATTTCCATGTATTTAACATCAATCATCAACTGATGCTAAATCTGTGTGAGTCAAACTTTATGAGGAACAGCATATTTTCTATAATCTCAAAGAGTTCCTAGAATCTATATCTAAAAGTGGGCGTGCTGGGTCATAGGTTATGCACATCTTCAACTTTACTACACATTTGCCAAAATGTTCTCTAAAATAAAATCAATTTATTCTATGCCAATGCTTTTCAGGCATATTGACTGTTGCCAATCTAATGGAAAAGAATGGCATTTCACTGTTTTCAACTGGATTTCCCTAATTACTAGTAAGATTTAATATCTTACTGACCATGTTTCTTCTTTTGTGAGGAAATATGTCCCTTGGATATTTTTCTATGGTAACATTTATCTTCATTGTCTCTTTTTGTTTTGTTTCATTTAGTGATTTGAAAAAGTGAATCCTCATTCTTTTAAGAACAAACTTGTCCATTATCACTACTGTTGCTCCAAGGCTCCTTCCACCTTCTTAACTAGATCCAGTATTCCTCTCATACTATTTCTCTCACAGTGGAAATCAAATTCTTTTGTTTTTTTAAGAGAGAGAGTGAGTATGGGCTGGGGAGAGGGGCAGAGGGAGAGAGAAAGAGAATCTTAAGCAGGTTCCACGCTCAGTGTGCAGCCTTAAGTGGGGCTCAATCCCATGACCCTGGGATCATGACCTGAGCCGAAATCAAGAGTCAGACGCTCAAATGACTAAGCCACCCAGGTGCCCTGGAAATCAATTCTTTTTACAGGAACTCTTGTCACAATTACCTTAAAGCTTTAATAAATTCATATAGTACAAAATGAGT